CCCCAAAACCCCAAAACCCCAAAACCCCAAAACCCCAAAACCCCAGAATGAAGAATAAATTGAATTTATTCCTATGAATTACTCTGGAGAGCCGATTAACTGATGCTTAACAAATTTTATCCTTGTACTTCTTCTACTGTCGTTACACATTTTCTTAAGGAATCCCATCTTCTGAACCTTCTTCTTCTTAATCAGCTGTCCAACAGAATGGTATTCATTTAGAGGAGTTTTGAATGATGAAAGAGGATCAGGGTCTTCATAGAACACGATTCTGTTTCTTACAAGATCTTTATACCCTGCTGTCAGGGTGGTTACTTTAGACACATTAAACTTTTTCCTTAGTTGGAACTTTCTCATTTTTCTGATGATGTACTTTGTTTTGTAACTATCTGCGTCAAGTCAACATCTATTTCCATCCTCCTGGAAGGTATATCAATGAATTCCCTCCTTTTAGGAAGGTATTTTCAGCAAGTTCAGTAAATTTATGCTTTAGTAATAAATATAGCGAGTTATATCCTGAACTTTTCTCAATAGCATTTAGTTTGAAGCTACCTAAGCTACGCTTTGGCTGCTTTAGAATATCTATGATAGCACCCTTCTGCTTTCTTTTAATCGCCAGCATTAGAGGAGTCAGTCCTAAATTATTTCGACTTGCTCAGTCAGCTTTATTCTTTACAAGAATCTTTAACAGATTCAAACTTTGTAATTCGTTCTTGGAATAGATACTGATAAGTTGATGAAGAGGTGTATTTCCTTCATTATCTTTCATATTAATATTTGCACCCATTTTGATCATTTTAATCACGATATCAGCCTTATGCTTTACTATAGATATATGTAATGGGCTTCCCAAATTTCCAGCCCCTTGGTCAAGTTCGATTCTTGGCTTATCACCATCTCCTGAGGCACATGATGAATCAAGTAATAAATCTGAAATTCTATCATTTTCTTCTCGGATGGCAAGACCAAGGGCAGCAAATTTATCCTTATCATACAGGTTAGGATCTGCTCCATGCTTGAGTAGTTCTTGGACTACGAGGTAATGACCTTCTTTGGCAGCAATATTTATCTTGGTCCTCTTTCTACTATCCTTGTAATCAATATTATCTTTATCTCACTTGATGAATTCAATAAAGCTCACTGTTTCTTTTCCTTGTGTGTCGAATTCTTTCAGAATATGCTTGAATTGGAATGCCTTTTCTCTCTTAAATTCAGTTTCTGAACGCATTGAGTAAGTTGATCTTGTGTTTTCACTCTGACCATGCTCGTTGATACTTAAATCAACTACTTTGGGAGCATAAACTAACCATTCAAGATGAATTCTTTCTAACTTATCAAGATGTCACAGACTAGTTGGGATCCCTATATCATTTTAGACTAAGACTTTACATTGTAGAGATGAATTATTTGCCATGTTTAGTCGTCTCAGATTTTTTAGATTACCTAATTCATAAGGTAGAGAGCTAAGAAGGTTATTGGTAACATCTAGCATCTTCAAGTTCTGTAACTCACAGATTTCTGGAGGAAGATATTCAATTTTATTATCATTAAGCAGCAAAAACTGGAGATTTTCCAGCTGAGAAATTTCAGGCGTAACCTCTTTTAGGTTATTGTTCCCCAGTATCAGCTTATTTCAGAGTATCTTTTAACAAGTAAATCTCTGACGTTATGAAAGTTATCTTATTAGAATCAGCAATTAATTCTTTCAAGTTAGGAAGAGATTTAACCATATTATCATTTATCTCCGTAAATGAGTTTTTACTGATGTTAAGGGTCACTACCTGATCAAATACAGACATCATGATAGCTCTGGGAAGATAGAATAAGTTATTCTTGCTATAATTAAGCTCTCCTCTGCTTGTAATTTTGTTATTATAATAATCTTTCATTGATTCTTCTCTACATTTCGCCAACTTGTCTTCATCAACTATTGAATCTTCTGAAAAATCTTTGATTCCAGCACATTTCATTATGTGTGTACTCTATAAAGTAAAAGTTAGATTAGGGGTTTGAAAATATGGGTTAAGCAACTAAGCCATACATTTATCTTTTTCTCCATTTTCTAACAATATTAATTTCTTAGCTGGGGTTTTGGGGTTTTGGGGTTTTGGGG